AAGTGCTTTTCAGCATGCGACATCCTGCGGTGCTTCTCAGCCTGCAGGGTTCGCAACGTGCGGTTTGCAATGCATTCCTTTTCAGTATGCGAGTTCCTGCGGTGTTTCTCAGGCTGCAGGGCTCCGAGGCTCTTCGCTTCGATGCCAATGTTTTCAGACACCGTAGCTCCGTTCCGTAAACGTCTTCCAAGAGCCGCTCGCAACCTTTTGCAGCTGGCTGTCTGCGCGCTTCGCCGGCTTTTGCTGCGCGGACAATTTTCTCACACACGTCAGCGCCGTTTGTAGGCGTCAGAAAAACATGTAGACATTCACGAAGGGCTCAGTCTGTATATCGTCACATCATTACATACGCAGTCGTCGAACACATCGGTGTACATTCAGCGCTTTGTCCTTCTAGCTGGGTTGCTTCGTGCTGAGGCTGAGGCTGATGCAGGCTGAGGCTGAGGCAGGCTGAGGCTGAGGCCGAGGCCGACGGCAGACTGAGGCTGAGGCTGAAGCAGGCTGAGGCTGAGGCAGAGGCAGGCTGAGGCTGAGGCTGAAGCTGAGGCAGGCTGATGCTGAGGCAGGCTGAGGCTGAGGCTGATGCAGGCTGATGCAGGCTGAGGCTGAGGCCGAAGCTGAAGGCAGACTGATGCTGAGGATGAAGCAGGCTGAGGCTGAGGCTGAGGCAGGCTGAGGCTGAGGCAGGCGGAGGCTGAGGCTGAGGCAGGCTGAGGCTGAGGCTGTGACTGCGACTGCCGTTGCCACTGCGACTGTCATCGCGAATGCGACTACGACTGCGAGAACAGCAGAACTCTACAACTGGATTCTCATTTGAATCTTAAGGGGAATGCTTCCAGATATGCTCCTACACATCGCTGTTAGGTTGCTTTGCCGGGATAATTTGAGGATGTCCCGAGCGAAACGGCCGTTTTTGGGCATTGACAGACGGATTTTCGGAAATTTGCGGGTGGCCGGCGGGACGGGCCGAAGCCCACTGGGGAGTTCTTTTAGAAAAAAAACCAAAACCAAAACCTGAAACGTCCAGCACGCCGTGCACCCCTGCAAGCAGGGGGCGGCGGATCGAAGACGCCTACGGCGAATCAATCACCGCCGCCCCCTGCCTTTTTGGAAGCGCCTATGTGGCCGAACGTTGAGGCCAGACCTGCCAAGCCATCGGACCATGTGTTCCCCGAATCGGTTTGGAAAGCCTTCGGGGAACACGTGGGCATCTTGAAGGTCATCTTGGCCGTCTTGGAGGCCTCTTGGGCAAGCTTGGGCGATCTTTGGGGCTTTTTGGGCCGTCTCGGGCCAGCTTCGAGCCAACTTCGGCCATCTTGGAGGGTTCCTGGCACGTCTGAAGCCGTCGGAAGCCGTTTGGGGGGCCTCTATGGGCCGACTTGGGGCCCGCTTGGAATGCTCCAGGGCCGTCTTGGAGGCCATCTTGGGCGTCTGGGAGGCCATCTTGGGCGTGTTGGAGGCCTCTTGGGCCCTCTTGGGGCCCTCTAGGGGCCATCTTGGAGGCCACTTGGGCCATCATGGGGCTCTCTTGGGGGCCTCTTGGGCGATCTTGGGGGCTTCTTGGGCCGTCTTGAGCCGTCGGAGAGCCGAAAAGGCGCAAATGCCAAAATCCTTCAAAAACCAATGGAAAATCAATGATTTTGGCCTCTTCGGACTCTCCTGGAGGACCTCTTGGAGGCCTCTTGGGCCGTCTGGGAGGCCTCTGGGGGGCCTCTTGGGCCGTCTTGGGCCGTCTTGGACTCTCTTGGGCCGTTTGGGAGGCCGTCTTGGACCATCTCGGGTGGACTTGGAGGCCATCTTGGGCCATCTTCGCGATTTTTTGAGGATGTCCCGAGCGAAACGCCGTTTTTGGGCTTGAGAGATGGGTTTTTCAAATTGCGGGTGGCCGGCGGGATGGCCGAAGCCCAACTGGGGAGTTCTTTCAGAAAAAGAACCAAAACCAAAACCTGAATCTCCAGCACGCCTGCACCCCTGCAAGCAGGGGGCGGCGGATCGAAGACGCCTACGGCGAATCACCGCCGCCCCCTGCCTTTTTGGAAGCGCCTATGTGGCCGAACGTTGAGGCCAGACCTGCCAAGCTATCGGACCACGTGTTCCCCGAATCGGTTTGGAAAGCCTTCGGGGAACACGTGGGCATCTTGAAGGTCATCTTGGCCGTCTTGGAGGCCTCTTGGGCAAGCTTTGGGCGATCTTTGGGGCTTTTTGGGCCGTCTCGGGCCAGCTTCGAGCCAACTTCGGCCATCTTGGTGGGTTCCTGGCACGTCTGAAGCCGTCGGAAGCCGTTTGGGGGGCCTCTATGGGCCGACTTGGGGCCCGCTTGGAATGCTCCAGGGCCGTCTTGGAGGCCATCTTGGGCGTCTGGGAGGCCATCTTGGGCGTGTTGGAGGCCTCTTGGGCCCTCTTGGGGCCCTCTAGGGGCCATCTTGGAGGCCACTTGGGCCATCATGGGGCTCTCTTGGGGGCCTCTTGGGCGATCTTGGGGGCTTCTTGGGCCGTCTTGAGCCGTCGGAGAGCCGAAAAGGCGCAAATGCCAAAATCCTTCAAAAACCAAGGGAAAATCAATGATTTTGGCCTCTTCGGACTCTCCTGGAGGACCTCTTGGAGGCCTCTTGGGCCGTCTGGGAGGCCTCTGGGGGGCCTCTTGGGCCGTCTTGGGCCGTCTTGCACTCTCTTGGGCCGTTTTGGAGGCCGTCTTGGACCATCTCGGGCGGACTTGGAGGCCATCTTGGGCCATCGTCGCGATTTTTTGAGGATGTCCCGAGCGAAACGGCCGTTTTTGGGCAGGAAATTGGGGAATTGAGGTCCTGGAAGGGTGGCCGGCGGGACGGGCCGAAGCCCACTGGGGAGTTCTTTTAGAAAAAGAACCAAAACCAAAACCTAACAGCTCGTCCAGCACGCCGTGCACCCCTGCAAGCAGGGGGCGGCGGATCGAAGACGCCTACGGCGAATCACCGCCGCCCCCTGCCTTTGTGGAAGCGCCTATGTGGCCGAACGTTGAGGCCAGACCTGCCAAGCCATCGGACCATGTGTTCCCCGAATCGGTTTGGAAAGCCTTCGGGGAACACGTGGGCGTCTTGATGGTCATCGTCGTCGTCTTGGAGGCCTCTTGGGCGATCTTTCGGCGATCTTTGGGGGCTCTTGGGCCGTCTCGGGCCGTCGGAAGGCCGAAAGAAGGGAAATGCCCAAATCCATCAAAAACCTTGGGAAAATCAGTGATTTTGGCATCTTTTGGCCTTCCTGGAGGCCCTCTTGGGGGCCTCTTGGGCCCTTTTGGGCCAGCTTCGAGCCAACTTCGGCCATCTTGGTGGGTTCCTGGCACGTCTGACGCCGTCGGGAGCCGTTTTGGGGGCCTTTCTGGGCCAACGGGGGACCCTCTTGGGGCGCTCCAGGGCCGTCTTGGAGGCCATCTTGGGCGTCTTGGAGGCCATCTTGGGCGTGTTGGAGGCCTCTTGGGCCGTCTTGGGGCCCTCTAGGGGCCATCTTGGAGGCCACTTGGGCCATCAGGGGGCTCTCTTGGGGGCCTCTTGGGCGATCTTGGGGGCTTCTTGGGCCGTCTTGAGCCGTCGGAGAGCCGAAAAGGCGCAAATGCCAAAATCCTTCAAAAACCAATGGAAAATCAATGATTTTGGCCTCTTCGGACTCTCCTGGAGGACCTCTTGGAGGCCTCTTGGGCCGTCTGGGAGGCCTCTGGGGGGCCTCTTGGGCCGTCTTGGGCCGTCTTGGACTCTCTTGGGCCGTTTTGGAGGCCGTCTTGGACCATCTCGGGCGGACTTGGAGGCCATCTTGGGCCATCTTCGCGATTTTTTGAGGATGTCCCGAGCGAAACGGCCGTTTTTGCGCACGGTGGCGGGTTCTGCCGGAGCCCACTGGGGAGTTCTTTTGGAAAAAGAACCAAAACCAAAACCTAACAGCTCGTCCAGCACGCCGTGCACCCCTGCAAGCAGGGGGCGGCGGATTTAGTGGCCCTCGGCCCATCCCGCCACCGTGCCTATGTTGTGGGGCAGAGGCCTCTTAGATGCATGTAGAATCTATTGGGATGCCTCTCGGGGGCCTGTAAGAGGCCCTTTGGGAACCTTTCGGGGCCTCCTGGAGGCCTCTTTGGGCCTCTTGGGGGCTCTGGGGCCTCTGGGCGGATCTTGGGTCCATCTTGGGTCGGACGGCTCGAAGTCTCAGTCTTGGGCACTTCTTGGGCCCCTTTTGGGGCCATCTTGGGGGGCTCTTGGGCTCGTTTTGGAGGTCGCCTGGGGGCCCTCTTGGGGCCCACTTGGGTCGTCTTGAAACCCTGTTGGGGGCCTCTTGCAGCGTTTGGGATCCGATAAGGCGAGACCGCACAAATCCTTCACCCACCTGAGCAAAATCAGCGATTGTTGCCTTTGGGGGCCATATCGGAGCGTCGCTTGAAGCCCTCTTGGGGCCCCTTGGGCCGTCTTGAGACCACCTTGAGCGTCTTTGGGACGTCCTCTGGGCGACTCGGGGCCGTCTTGGATTGTCCTGGGGGCATCTTGGCGCCCTCTTGCCCCGTTTCGGTGCCCTCTTTGCCCCCCCCGAAGACGAGACGCGTGGACATGGGACACGCCTCGCGAGCCCCCCGGAGCGCCTGGTGCCCGGGGCTGCGGGCCCCTTTGGGAGAGCATTGTCGCATCCAGCGCGGAGGGCTCTCAGCGGCGTCGGCACCGTGCTCCCTCGTGTTTCACCAAGGGGGGGTCGCTCCGCGCCTTCGCCGGCGCCGCCACAGAAAAATCAAGTGTTTCGCCGCGGGGGCAGCCAGGCTTCGGCTGCCCCGGGCATGCACGCTCCCGTAGGCGGAACGCCCTGGCCAACTCACCCCACGGCCCCTATCCCTCCGACCCCGCCTTCCTCCGACTTCCACCTCCTGAGCCTTCTGCGCGGCAGCCGCCGCCACGGCACGGCCGCATCCGCCGCCGAGGCCGCGCCGTCGGTGTGGGGCGCCTGCCGCGCGGCAGGCGCGGGAGGTGGAGGTCGAGGGCTCCCCCTCCCAGGCGGGAGCGTAACGGCCCCCGACTTCCACGACCGCGTCACCACGCCCGCAGCGCTGGCCGCGGGCGGCGTCGTGCTGGGCGTCGGCGCCGCCGTGGCCGTGGGCATCGCTGGCGTGCCCGCGGCCGCCTGCGCGGTCGGCGGCGTGGCGGCGGGGTTCATCCCGACGGGCCACGCCCTGTTGAACACGGCCGTGCGCAGGTCGAAGAACACAAAAGCGGCGTACACCGTAGACGGGCTAACGGACGGCAGTGTAGGTCGCGTCGATGTAGGTCTCGGTATTGTGGGAACGTGTGGCTCGCGCTTTCCTGTAATTCGCTGTGTCGTGTTCGCTCGATCCATTAGCAGATCGGAAATGTAGGAAAGTGTGGTTCGTGATTTCCTACACTTTGACCCCCAAGATCACCGTTAAGCAACATCGCCATTAGCCCGGCCTTGGAATACACATACCTTTGTGGAGATCAGCGCGGAGTTCTCGGATCGGCGCTGAGCCCCCCTCCTTGGCGCGCGGAGCTCGCCAGGGGTGCCCAGCGCCGATCCAAGGAAAACCGCGCGGAGCTCCAGCAGTTCATGCTTGTGCAGTTGTTCGTTCCTCCAGGGCCGTGGGGGCGCTGCTGGCGGTCCGCACGAAGCTGAAGTCTCTGCCGCGCGCGGAGCTCTGGAGACGGGAGGGCCTCCGCTGTACACCGGCACCGCTGCTGGCCGTGCCCGTGATGAGCCCGTGGTTGGTGTTTGTGCTCCCTCCTGGCCGGGGCTGGAGCGATCCCTGGCCCAGGACTGGCCTGGCCAGCATTGGTGTCGGTGCATAGCCGGCACCCTCCTGCGAGAGGGCCGCAGTGGGGGCGAGGCTGAAACCGGGGACGATGTGTCCGACGGCACTTCCAGTCCAGGTTTAGCGGGCGCCGTTGCCGGTTTTGAGGCTGGCGCTGTCGGTTTGAAGGCGAGCGACGTCTGCGCAGCAGCAGTCGCTGCGATTTCGGACGGCAGCTGCTGTTGGATATTGTCCCCATCGATGCGGTCCCCATTTCGGGCATGTCAAGGAGCGGTGGCACGCCGACCTGTCCGCATACCTGCAGGTGACCTCTGCGACTCTTGAGCACATTAGCACCATGCCAGTGGAAGGCAGCACCACCACTCTGCTCGATTGTCTGAGCGAGATCAACGGCGTGCTGGAGAAGCTCAGCAACTTGCTCACGAAGTTCGCGGACCGTCGGAGGTTGGCGAAAGCGCTGGACCAGGAAAGTTTTCACAGCAAGCGGCAGGAGCTGATGGACAGCCTCAGCCTGTGGAATTCCAGCATGACCCACGCCTTGCAGGCGCTCCACCAGGACACGCTCACCAAGGTCCTGGCGGAGGTCAGGGCGCTCGCAGCGCAGTCCAAGCATTGAGCGGAGCCGCCCGCCGGTTAGGGGCTGTCCGCCGATAGCGCCGTGCCCACGTGCTGGGGAAGTGAGGGGCGGTCTTTTGTACGCCTGGGCTCCGGATGTTGCCATGGCCGCGTCCTGGGTATTCCAGGTGCGCCAGTGACGCAGAGCCCGAATTCGATTAAGCGCGTAGAGCTCCACGGAAGTTGCAGCGGTCGCAGCCTTTTTTTGTGACTGGTATACGCAGGGTTCTTTTTCCTTCCAGCAATGATGCACCTGGAAGTCTGTTGGGTGAGGGCGGCCGGCATCTGTGGCACTGCCTGCTCCGATGGCGACCGCAAAGCGGCCCGAGCAGGGGAAGGAGCAGGGCGAGGAGGGGGTGACGGAGGGGGGGCGCGGCCCCCGAAGGTGAGCAGGCGGAGGACGGCCCAGGGGAGGACACGGCCCGGGAACACCCCAGCCTCCCGCCCCCCCCCCCCACTCGGAGGTGGACAGACCTCCTACCCTGACACGTCGATTAATGAATTGGCCGTTTTCGGTTAGCGAGAGGGCGTCGCGGCCGTCATTTTTGCGGGTCCAGGTCCGTCGGTTTCGGTCCCAGGCCGTTCTCACTGAGGGGAGGTTTGCTATAGGGAGGTTTGTCCACCGCCGACCCACACGGGGGGGTGCGGCGCGCGCGCGTGTGCGGCGCGCGCCTGTGGCTTCGAAGCACGGGGGCCCCCGCTGGTCCCCGCGCTCGGCGTCAGGGGGCCTCTGACGGCCGGCACCCCGTGGGGCCAGCAGCCTGCCAGGGTCTCGATCCGCGGGCATCTATCCTGCACCCTCGAGGCTTTGATCCTCGATCAGTTCCCCCCTCCCTCCCCTCCCTCCCTCCCTCGCCTCTCTCCCTCCCTTCCTCCCTCCCCCCCTCCCTCCCCTCCCTCCCTCCCCTCCCTCCCTCCACCTCCTCTTGCTTGCGCGCAGCGGCTGGTGGTGCGGGCGGCCGGTGGTTGCGCCGAGCTTTATGGCCAGCTGGTGGACTTGGGGGCACGGCCGGGGCCCCGAGTCCTCAGCGCCTCCTGGGCCCGCTGGGCCAGATCCCCCTTCTTCAAGCAGTGGCGAAGCGTCCTGGCTCGCCTATAGCCCTACCAAACAATGTTCTAAGAACCTTTTGTGGTTTCCACGAAATGTTCTTAGTACATTTCTGGCGGAGTCTGTCTTGTTTTATCACATCGGACTTATTTTCTGAGAACATTGTTCTTGTGGTGAGAACATTTTTGGGTTCTAAGAGAATCTCGTGGTAGGACCATAGGAATGCCGGGACGGTCGGTCCCTGCTCAATTCTGGGCATTTCGTCGTGGGGACGGGGGGTAACCGAAGTCGCCTGCGGCGAATCACCGCCGCCCCCCTGCCTTTTCGAAACGCCCACGCGGTCAAGCGTTGGGCCGAAGCCTGGCCGAGCTATTGGACTACTCATGTGTTCACCCAGCCGTCTGGAACCCCTTGGGGGGAACACTCGGGAGAGGAAGAGGGAACGGGGCCGCCTCCGCCAGCGGAAGCTGGCAGAAGGCTTGCGAAAGGCGGCGGGATTCACATCTGCGCTCCCAAGAGACGGCATTATTTTTGGGTTCAGGGTTTTTGGAACCCGTTTCTACGACGTGCGCTCTCAGCTCCTTTCCCGCTCTGGCCTCCCGCCCTGTATCCTCTGAGGGCAAGGCCAGGAGTTATTCAGAGGCGACGGCACAGAGGATCGGCACACCAAAGGAAAAACACAGGCTCGACTACGCGGACAGTCGCGCGTGAGCTGCCCGCGTGAGGTCGCGCACAAGCGCCCTCGTTTCCAGTGTGGTGTGCCGCGCTGGCAGATTCGCGTAAGCCACCGCGTAAGGCCCTTATGGCGTGTCGCGCAAGACTTGCTTCCTTTCGTCGCGCAGATGACTCTACGGTCGGGAGGTTTTGGATAGTGTGTCACTCCGCCAGTTCTGGCCCACCATGCTTCGGCGCGACACGCTATCCACTTCACAGTCCCTAGGCTTCAACGTCCTGAGCCTTTCCGAGCCTCCCGCCCGGCTATCCGCTTTTGCAGCGCATGCAGTGGAAACCCATGCCAAGAAACACCCTGCTTGCCTCCAGTGTGCCCTGGGTTTCTCAGGTTTCGACGGTTTTGCTAAAGGAAGCGTGATGTTCCAACACCCAACAATCCATGAACGTCCTGGGGTCTCAGGGCTGGGTTTCTTGTGAAAGGTTTCTTGTGGTCGAGCTCCTACTGCAGCGTGTCGCCCAGACCGCCGCGGCGACGCGCTGTCCAAAAGGTTCTGATCCTATCCAGCCACTGCGAAGACGAGGATCACCGAGACCCACCCGTAAGGCGGCCCCGCCGCATCCTGCCGCGGCGACACGCTATCCAAAAGTGCATGATCCTCTGTAGCCACCCCGAAGATGAGGATCCCCGAGGCCCCCCCGCCCCAAGGCGGCCCCGCCGCATCCCGCCGGAGCCCGCTGGCCTCTGCTCGGCGCCGCCTGCTGCCTCCTGGCGGCGGCCGCGGCCACCCGCAGCGCCGGCGGCGCGGCGGGTGGTGCGGCGCTGGCGGTGCAGCCGGTGGTGGCCCGGGGAGGGGGCGAGCTTCTGGATGATTGGAGGGGGAGCTCGGCCACGCGCAGAGCCTATAGGCCTCCTGGATGGGGTCCGGGTAGATGAGGTCGGAGGACTGCGCCGCATCGCCGACGCATCGACGATGCGGCTCGATGTCGAGCCCGTGTTTCTCCACGCCGACGGCGCCGATGCGTCGCCCACGTCGACGATGCATCGCCAGTGCATGGCCGATGCATCGCCGATGCATCGGCGATGCGGCGCGATCCTCCGACGCCATTTACTCGGACCCCATCCACGAGGAGGGTGTAGGGGGAGGGGGGACGGCTTCTTAGACGAACCCTTTCCTCTCAGAAGGCGCGGGCCTTGTCTGTAGGTGTAGGGCCGGTGTCTTCCAAGAAGGAACCTGCCCCCCTCTGCGCGCCGCCAAAGAGCTTGGAGCTGGCTGGGGGTCTGAGGTGGCCCAGCACTGGATCCGGCCAGGTGGAAGGGGGGCGAGGTTCGAGGCTCTGGCCGGGGTCTGAGGTGGCCCAGCACTGGTTCCAGCCAGCTGGAGGGGGGGCGAGGTTCGAGGCTCTGGGTGCGAGAGGGTTCGATGCCTTCTTCGACTTCCCGGGGCTGTTTTCGGGCCCTGGGACTGTCAGAATAAATTGCACATATAGATGTCGGGAGGGGTCTGGCGCTGCAGCTGCTGCAGACGGCGGTGCAGTGGTGGCCTGGGGACGGGGCGAACTCTGGATGATTGGAATTGGACCTCCCAGATGGGGTCCGAGTACGTGCATGGGGTCGGTGGATCGCGTCGCATCGCCGATGCATCGGGGATGCAACTCGATGTGGAGTCCTCCTTTCTCCAGGCCAGCGTCGCCGATGCATTTTCGATGCATCCCCGATGCATCGGCGATGCGGCAGGATTCTCCGACTCTACCTACTCGGACCCAACGTGGACGGCTTCTTTTGGAGGGCGAGTTGTGTCAGTTTTCTTGCGCCACGGACGTTTCGCTCCAGCCGGAACGTTTCTCAGCCAACTGTCTGCTACGGCATGCTCGCAACGGGATGGCGGCAATGACGGTGGCATTCCGTCATTGCCTTCAGTGAGTTCATTGTCGTCATGCCGTTGCAACACATGTCATCTTCAGCGAAGTCAAAAACCTTGGCGAACTCTGGAGAATCGGGCGCTTCGTAACGAGCCCCGTAAATGCAAGCACATCGGCGATGGCATGCTTGCAACAGGATGGCGGCAAAGAGCTCAGAGAAGGCAAACAGTTTTGCATTCAATGAGATTTTTTCGTCCTCAGTGAGTTCATTGCCGCAATCCCAGTGCAGCCGGTTGTGACCCGGGGAGGGGGCGAACTCCGGGGAGTCGGGCGTTCAGCCCTGAGATTCTGGCGTCGCATTTTTTTCGTTCCGTGTGTTTTCGGTTGGTTTCGGGCCTGGGGTCATCACGGATCGATCCAGCCCGAAAGTGCAGCAGGCAGCTGGGGTCGAGGGCTCCGGCCATGATTCCCCACGATGTCGCATTTTCTCGCAGCGCTGAAACTCAGTGAAATGCGGCGGAATCGAGGGTTGCAGGGAAGGGGTCCTAACGGGGCTCTGAGACACGAAGGGGGTGTCCTTAGGGGCCCGGAAGGTGCACGAAAGATGTACTCTTGTTCCATTCCAGGTTTTCTGCTCCTACATGAGGCAACGCCCGAGGGAGGAGGGGGCGTAGGAGAAGGAGGAAGCGTTTGAGAAGTAGGAAGAGGAGGAGGAGGAGGAGGAGGAGGAGGAGGAGGAGGAGGAGGAGGAGGAGGAGGAGGAGGAGGGGGAGGAGGAGGAGGAGGATGAGGAACCCTCACATCCTCTCGCCGCGAAAAAGTGACGGCGGAAGGTTTTTAGTAGTTTTCGGCCCCAGGGTGTTCGTTCTGGGTCCAAGGGCCGCCAACAGAAACGGTTCATGATGAAAGCCGGCCCCGGGGGAAAGGGTCGGGACTTCGGGGGACCCTGTATTGAAACAATCAAGACATCGGATGTCTGAGGATCGAGGGGCGGGAGAAGGATCGAAGAAGACAAGACAACATAAGCATGAATTTTCTGAGCTCCGTGCCGATCTCTCGGATTGGCGCCAGGCGCCCCTGGCGGCGCCTTCACCGCCGCCGCGGCGCTCTCCGTGCGCCATGGATGGGGGTCCAGCGCCGATCCAAGATATCCGTCCGAGGCTCCGAAAGTGTATGTTTATGTGATAGTAGTAGTAGTAGTAGTAGTAGTAGTAGTAGTAGTAGTAGTAGTAGTAGTAGTAGTAGTAGTAGTAGTAGTAGTAGTAGTAGTAGTAGAGGTAG